TCTCTCTCTCTCTCTCTCTCTCTCTCTCTCTCTCTCTCTCTCTCTCTCTCTCTCTCTCTCTCTCTCTCTCTCTCTCTCTCTCTCTCTCTCTCTCTGTGCAGATGGAGTCCCAGCTATGAGTCAGCTTTGAGAGCAGCAAGTGGTGGGCTTGTGATCTGCTGCACAGCTAATATAAGCATACTTTACAGAGACACTTGGTTTTTGATGTTGGCCCAACGGTTCAGAGTTGCTTCCTCGCTTGCATTTATTTTCACTCTCCGCAGTGTTGCTGATATACATGTCTTTTATATCCCATGTATTCCTTGTAAAAAACAGAATAGCTGACTTATAAAGGCATGTCTTTTTTTCCTGTTTCTCCAGAGTTGACCTTTAGAAGACGCCATGCTGATGTCTTGAGCTGAGGAAGGCTTCACCCTCAACCTGTCTCTGTTTGTTATTCCGCACCTGGTCCCCCCTGCTTCAGTCAGCGGACAGCATCCACCTCTACATTTTCCCCACCCCCCTCCGGCCCAGCCTGCCGTCAGCATGACGTCGGAGCTGGAGAGCAGCCTGACCTCCATGGATTGGCTTCCTCAGCTGACCATGCAGGCGGCCATCCGCAAGGCGGACGCTCAGAGTGCCCACGGGCCAGGCATGGGCAAGAAGAGCGCCCTGCTGGACCCTAACACCACGCTGGACCAGGAGGAGGTGCAGCAGCACAAGGACGGCAAGCCGCCATACAGCTACGCCAGCCTCATCACGTTTGCCATCAACAGCTCGCCAAAGAAGAAGATGACACTGAGCGAGATCTACCAGTGGATCTGTGATAACTTTCCCTATTACAGGGAGGCGGGCAGCGGCTGGAAGGTGAGAAAAAGAGCCATCTGTTCTTTACTTTGAGCCGATACAGCAGATGTTGAAGTGTGTTGCCATCATGGTGATGATAGAGTTGCACTCTGGTTATAGTGGCGCTTCTGACTTGAACAAACTTTATGTCAAACCAAATATGACACGTAATTGTAGAGCTTTTGTTTAGTTTTTACAGTCGGACAGTAATGCCATTCAGTTGATTTCCTCGTGGATATGTTTCTTTGACTCAACAGTTTGGTAGTAAACTGTGGACAGCCTGGAGGAAAAGTTGAGATTGATATTCCTTGACGTAAGTCATTGTTTGGTGGTCGCCGGGCATCTTAAACAAAGTGAGATGCCGTTGGTAATCACCATTGTCACTTCTGAGAAAGCTCGGAGAGAAACTACGAGCACGCCAAATCACACTAAGTGCCTCACTCCTCCGAATGAAGAATGGTGCAGCCCTGAGAGAAGCATATGAAGTGTAAAACCCTGGATTAATATTCAGAGAAGTGGGCCCTATCTGTGCGAACACAGACTAAATAGCCCATTCATGGGTGGTATTATTCATTGCAGATGCCTTGATAGGAGAAGGCCATTATGCAGAAGAGAGAGCCAATGCTGTGTCATCATCTCAAGGAGCCCATGATATACCGAGATGAAGCTATGCTGATTGCCTTTTAAAGGGCCCAGATGGAAATTGATATTAGAATGAGTTTTCCAATCAGTCGACGTTTATTGGAAATAGAATCTTAGGCTCTGCTTTATTGCAGTCAGACAAGATGTATGAAGCCCATTTCCTGGGGCGACAAGGTGTGTGTGTGTGTGTGTGTGTGTGTGTGTGTGTGTGTGTGTGTGTGGGTGGGGGAGATGAGAAAGCATGTGTTATTATAAATGGATGGATTTTAGTTTTTGTGGCAAGGCCTTTTGAAAGGAAATGAATTGTTTCACTTTGCGTCCTTTGTTTCCTCTTTTACCTTCATCATCCCTTATTTAGTGGGCAGCAACGTAGCAGCGTGTTTGCTGTCAGTCGGCCTGGATTCCTGCTTTAAGTATCAGACATTTGTACTCGGCTCTTTATTTTGTATACCGCCCACCTTCTTAAGCGTTAAGTTTAACCGTTCATTGTACAGTAACGCTTTTCTCTAGACATTGGCACGAGGTTGCAGCAGTGTTTACCGATGGTTTTGCTTGCTGCGTTAAGATTGTTAACAGATCCGGTTGCAGAGCATGTAATAGCCTACTCATTGTCTGTATCTGTTAAAGTAAGCAGCTCTGAGTGAGTCTTCATTTATGTGGGTCGAAGTGGTCTTGGTGAAGTCTTGGTGCACATCCACAGACTTTGTTGCTCTTAAATAGGAGGGTGTAAATGACCGGCCCAACTTAAATAACTGTAGATAAGACACAACACTTCTTATATATTTTAGAGTGGGTGATCCTCAATGGGAATCAAACTGGTGCTGCTGACAGGGTTGGAGATGTTCTCACCCAGTTCCAGTCCCCCTGTAGTTGGAGCAGGAAGGACTACATGGTATTAATTCATCAACGCTCGACTAATATGCGCGGCTCTTCATGTGCCTTCGGTTATTTTGTTGTTAAGTGGAGCTTTATCACAAAATCAGCTGCTGATTTCATGATTCACATACTCAGAAAACACTGAGGGACATTAGACATGCATTTGAAACCTTGTTCTGAAGGCCTACAAATAATAAAATGGCATTCAAGATTTGGAAATGTCATGCAATCCTAATTGATAACTGGTTTATAAAATAAAAGAGCTGTTTTTAAAATGTGACTTTTTGTGGTGTGGCTAAAATGCAGTAGCTCAACTGTTATTTTCTCATTTTATTTTGTCTTTGCATCCATGCGTCTGTCTGAAACGCACTTGGCAGCTACCCAGCGAATGGGTTCAATCCTCTTGGGGATTAACTGACCAGGGCAAATTTTTTTAAATTGGAAGTAAGCATGCAGTTTCAAGCAGTGTTGGATCATGGGAAATGTTCACTTTTAAAGCTACAGTTGGTAACTTCAATACAAATAGCTATTATATTATATTTGCTCAGAATGTCACTATATCCGGACTATCAGTGAAAACATCAGGTTCCTCTGCCTCTCAATGGCAACAGCAAGATTCCATTCTACATCAGAACCGAGGGTTCTCCATCGCGGCGTTAATCGCTGCTCGTGAATCAAGATCATGTTGCTGTGTTACCTGTTTCTAGTCTCGCATGTTTTCAGAAGGAATTGACAGTTTGTAATGTATGACAAAAATGTATATTTTCATTAAAGTTGCCAACTGTAGCTTTTAAATTCACAACATAACTTCATAAATCAAAACATATTTTTATGTAGGGATTTAAGTTTTAGCTTACATCATTTGTAAAGGTTGCATCATGGTAATATTACAGTAGTACAGATAAGAAAAATGCACATAACAAAAATAACCCTCTACAGGGTTATTTGCATTAAATTCACTACTTTATTTTAGTATAGGAAAATCCACTCTGTATAGATGCTGCTCTCTAGTGACTCCTGAAAACATGTATAACCCTTAAACATGAAATCCTTGGCACAAGGATTGTTTAGATTCCATGAAACGAGGTGGGCCGATGGGCCTTGAATCAAGGAACAATTGATTTTGATTTGATGGGATTTTTTTTTAACCACATAAATGAAACTACCATAATGCTATACAGTGACGACGGTAAGCATTTATTGTCCGTGTGTAATAGAGATCTGACGTAACTGGTGTAAGAGCGAGTTATAGAATTAGTCAGCGTTGGGTGAGATTGACGCTCTTCAGGTACTTTCTAGTTTAGGGGAGGCGTGCGTAGATCAACACATTCTGACTGTAATGTGGGCTGCAACTGTAGAAATAGCCCCCATTTTAAAAGTGACAGAAACCACATCAGTCTAACCAGGATGCTGTACAACACAGGAAACGATGAAAAGGCGGTTTGAAGAAGTGCTCGTACGCGAGAGCCTGCGTCACAACTCTCTCTCAGTTCTTGTTAATGGGGTGTTTTCCCTGCCGTTGTTTTCTTCTGAGAATGTAAATAACTGAAATAATGTGTATATAGTGTTTATAAAATCGTTTCAATGCATAAGACATTTGAATGAAATCCAATATGCTGTTTCCGTGCCCGGGGCATTTGAGCAAGCTTCAGTAGCCTTCGGTTTATTCCTAATGTTTTTTTGTGCTCGGGAGTATTTTCACAACCCATCACACAAATTATATTTTCATCTGAGCCCGTGCAAAAGTTCTCTCCCAAACACCAGGAGGTCACTAGGAAGCTTGTACAGTCAGAGAAGCGTCTAGCATGCAAAACCTAATTGAAATAGTTTCATTCTGTAGCAGGCAGACAGCAGTAACTATGCTGTGAGTCTACCTATAGTGTGACTGAATATATGCATGTTTGTGTGTGTGTAATTAGTTGGCAGCGAGCATGCCTGGGTGGGGTGAATGTAGGTCGGATGTAGTCATCGCTCCTCTGTTCCCCCGGAGATGTCAGTCGCAGGAATTTGGGACTCTACGCACGCATGCGTCTGCTCTGTATGATAATGCGAGCTGTGCCGGCAAGATGAGACCGGAGCTAATCCGGGCACCGGCAGCTCATTTAATAATCTCAATAGAACCCCATTAGCCTGCGCTTTTAAGAAATATCAATAAGTGCTGTCAATAAAAAAAAAAAAAAAACGGATAATTCATCAAGGTCGGAGAACGTGAGCGCTGCCTTTGAGAGTGCAGAATATGCGTTCGGCATCTATGAGCGAGCAATTAGAGGTTGCTTTTCTTACCGCTCTCTGCAGCTCTCTGAGGTACTTTTGATTCATGCTGTGCAGGTTCAGTCCCAGCAGTCTTCAGTACCATTCTGCTGGTATACTGTAGCTTCTGTGTCCCTCTGTTCCTCCTTCAGGATACTTGTCTACAGTCAGTGTACTGTTTCTATGTGTTCCTGATTATAATTCGTGTCTGTTGCCCAGTCCTTTCCATCTCAAAGCCATAACGGGAAATGTTCTGAGATTAAAAGGAGAGTATAGTCTTCTCCCACTTTAAGGTCAGAAGACCAGGTCTTTTTTTACCCCACCATGAGCGCCTCACAAAGACGAGACTTTTAATCAGTGTCAGCATTTAAGATACCATAACAACTGTTTGAATTTGGTTTAATATTTAAAACTGTGGATTCTCTTTATGATTAGTAATTAAATGAATAGAAAAAGAGCTGAATTTAGTCTTCAAGTCTGTTGTCAAAACTTCTCAGATCGGCTCCGTCTCTTCACGGATGCTGTCTTGCGTGTCATTAATGGTGAATCAGCGTTCTCTCACTTTCGATCCAACTGTTTGTGGGCCAATAGCCGTAAAAATGATTTCCAGACGCGTGGCTTCAAGACACTTGAAGAAGATGCAGGGGAGGGGATATTCCCCTCGTCAACCTCTGCGTGCATGCGTCATGACCGCAGTGGTTAAGAGTTTATTGAAGCAAGTGTTGCTTTGCCAATTAATACTTGTCAATTTTTTTTTTTTTTAGATGCTAAAGTCTCTGATGCCAAAGTGAACCAATGACCTGAGTCTGTATTCTTTGTTGACAACATTAAATTACCAGATGTTTTAGTGCAGTCTGATAACAGTATCAGTAAGATAACAGCTTCAATATTAAAGTACTTCTCCTTTAGACAAGGATTGAGTGGCTTTTATTTTCTGGCAATTTACAATGAGTTTTAATCAAGATGGTACTCTAAGTTATGTGTGATTTATTAAATAACTCTTAAGATCATGCAGTCACTGTTAAGGTATTACAAGAAATACATTTGTGCAGATATTTTGCTACAAGTTCTCTTCAACTATTGACTTTATTGGTATCTGCAAATACATTCACTGTATTGAAATAATCCGAGCTCTCCGGTGTTTCTGCACTAATGTCTTCATACTGGATGGGCTAATTCAAGCTAACAGACCTCCCTAAATGTTTTGAACTGTACACAGTCCTTCTCCAGACTCTGCTCACCTCTGTCATAGA